TCGCCGCTTGTACTTCAAATATAGTCACTGAGCCCTAGCGCTACCCTTGCTTAGGCTTTACTTCCTTGCGTGCAAGGTCTTGGATGCTGCCACGCCGCCGTGGCTCGCTTAGGCAGGCTGTTCGTGCTTGGGACAGGCTTGAACTCAGAAAGGCAGCTGGACGTTTCGGGGATGTCCAGCGCCGTCTGAGGGCTTCAATACCTGCGGCGCGCGAGCAGGTGTATGCTTATGTTGGATTAGAGAGGCTCCCGAGTGGAGAGCCGCAGCAGACTGGTGCTAAGACTGAATCCTCTTTCTGATATAAAGACATTTTACAAGGTGTAGTCTTTTTCATTCTTTATACCTCGATGGTTTATGTGGGATAACTTTATGCTAAACAATCCTATACCCATACCCCTGTAATAACAGTATACCAGGCCAGTAACGGCCTCTACCCTTTATCCAGATGCTACCACTGTCTTATGTACTCATGTATTCCACTGGACATTTTCCCTGAACATCTAGAGGTCTATCCATCCACACATGGCCGCCTGGCGAAATGGCATCGCGTCTGACTACGATGACACGGCGATCAGGAGATTGCAGGTTCGACCCCTGCGGTGGTCATTTTTGGCGCTTATTCTGTTTTCGATCAAAACGTCAAAACATACCTAAATTGCACCTCAAGCTCAAGTGCTAAATAGCCTCTGACACACCTATCCGAAGAAAACGCTCTTACGGTGTGTAGTGCACGGCATGCCATGGGAATTTTTGACCCGCCAGGCCTGGTTGGTTATCCTTTTGGAAGGCTTACCAGCTCGTAAGATATGTCAATTTTATATTCCAGGGTTGTCAGGTAACTAATAAGTTTCAAAGATCAGTAAGCTGATTCTGAAATAAGGGTCCTCAGAAGGCCCTGGTGATTGATCTTGTTGGGAGCGGGTCAGGGTCTGTCAGAGCACACCATAATATTTGTTTTTCTCTCTCTTGGTTCCTCGGCGGTGTCTTGATTGACCCGCAATCTGAGTTGTGCCTCAGGGTTCTAACTTCTGGCAAGGGGCCCACCCATCTTGGGAATTCATATTTGGTCGGCCATGTTCGATATGGCGTTCGATGCGCCGTGGTTACTCAGTAGTCAGTGCTCGCGCTCAGCGCTCAGTCGCTGACTCTGACACTGATCGGTGCTTGTGATTATTCTGGTTCATGCAGCAGCGCGAACTTGAATGCCCCACGAATTCAACATCTAAGTATTACCGTTTCCAAAACAAGGAAGTTGAACAACAAAGGCAAACAACTCAATCCTGGCTGGGGCGCGCGTTTCCAATTTCTGTCCTAACTCTATATCATGATGTAGAATGCAGGGCGCGCTTGCCAAGCGTCGTCTCACGTCTGTAACGCTCCGTCTACTTACTCGTCAGCCGGTGCTAATCGCATGGTAGCAGGATACACCGCGATCACGTTCAAACGAACGGCAAACAAAGATTCGACTCCAAAATCTGTGTTCACATCCTGGATGGGCTGCTGCACGAAGAGCCGTGCAGACAATTGAAAGCGGAGGCATCGTGATGATCAGAGAGTTACCTCTCAGGTACAATAATATTTTTATTTCCTCTTACCGACATATTCCTTCCAGAAACCTGTTGCTGGACTTGACACTTATCAGGTACGTGATGCATCGACTGCTCGTGCGCGCTTGATCTGCTATATTGAGACATCTTCATCAGAAGCTCAAGGGTCTGTGTTATCGTACTCTTAAAAGCTAAAGAAGGCACGCATGGCCTATCAAGCTGTCAGAACCCATGTTTGCGGTTCAGGCAATTGACGATGTGCCTCAGGTAGCCCCTGTCACCGATAGTTGGTTAAACGCGTACGTTGTGGATATCAAGTTGATCACACCTATGATCCGATCCTAAACTTGATACCTATCGGACAATCCCACCCTCAGTGACCCCAAGGCAGTAAAAACGAGCTCGCCGCGAATGCGATTTACGACGGATGGACATGTCAGTAAACATGTAGGATTCCACCTAGTCTCGAGCTAGACGTTCCGGGATCGCTTGGGGACCACCTTAGGTTTATGTAAGTCTGTTGAATGAATGGGGTCCAGGGGTAATTAAAGGTTGACTGACCGATCAGTGCTGATAAATATTTTGGCTTGACAGCGCCTGGTGCTATTGATATGTCTTTAACACCAAGGGTCGTTTTGCGTTAAATGACGAAAGAAAGCGTCGCTTAGGGCATAAATTGCGATTCGCCACATGTCTGTCTTCTGTGCATTTAGGGGGCTGAAATGTCGCATCATTCCGGTGTGCTCACATATTCTTCCAGGTTACAATATCAATGTTGGTGGATCAGTGTTGATGATACGCATTGTTTTCGTTCTGCCGTGGAAGCTATGTACCTGAGATTGTGATGAAACGACGCATCAAACAATGGCTCTGAGAGAAACTAACATGTCAGTCGGACCTTGGCTTGGTTTTTATAGACCAATGGCAATAATTAGCACATTGTTCGGAAAGATACCCATCTTCAGAATAGCCTGCACCATGAGTCTCGTGTCGTCATCGCTAGTTACCTCCATGGCAGACCTTTCCACTGGATGCTTGAAGACGAAGATGTCCAGCGCACGAGACAAGACATCTTGTCAAGTCTGTGCCCGGGCAGCCCGGCAAGTGCTCGACATCTGTCATTATGAGGTGGACACGTATCACTGTGGGATATTTAAAATACCTACAGATGTGAATCTTGCCTGTTTTGGAGCAAACAAGTTGCCCTCCGAACGACTCTAGTTGATGCAGCCAGTCGCCTCTATTTGCAATGTGGCAAGCACGGGTGCCGAAAGTGTTAACCTTATTATTATGGTATTGTGCAGTTGGTTGGTTACAATGTAGTAAACCGGAACTTCCTGTCATGGCTGTCATGTATGTACCTTATCAGATAAGAAGACAGGCTCGGACAGGGGTGATGCATTTCGTACATCCATCTAATTCTATGAGAAACAGTTACCTACAGGATATCAATGAGGCGACGATGAAGCAAGTTAGAAAAGGGTCTGATCGACCCACAAGGTGCGCAGACACGCACCCAGAGATCTGGCACCGGAAAGATTGAGGGGGAACGTCCGTCGAAGTAGAACTCCGAATGGCCTTTAAAGCCGCCCGATTAGGGCCGATGAGCTTCGGACCACTGCAGGTAATATCGATCGACCCTTGAAAGACTTGCCAAGAAATGGGGACAACAAGTCTGCTGAGAGCGCTGACTCGGAGTCATGAGCATGTGGACGCGTGTGAATCCGATATTTCTTCTGTTTATCCAATAATAAGATTCTTTGATGCACACAGGTGGCTCTGATGAAATGGATGTAAGGTTCGCCGCGCGCGATAGCGGATGTATGATCAGCATCCTTGTGCGCGAAATAGTGTACCAACAAGATGCATTATGAAGGTCGGTTGCTGGGTAAGTATGCAGAATAACGAGCAGATCGCCGTATAAACGTTTATGAGTTGTCAATGGATGCTGAAGGGTTTCGACGGGACCGGCTGGTGCTTTATTAGGCAGGTGGAGGTCGAAGACGGTCGTGTGCAATTCAAAAGTTTCGCGGAGTGCCAATTGGTGCCAAGCAGAAATTGATTATATAACCTTACGACCAAACATGGGTTTGCATGATAACACCATCTGGGTCATTATCAGATAATTCTTATTTTTTCCAGGCACTCCTGTATACATACAACTTATGTGTGGACGTCGACTATAAAGGGGGCCATGCTTCGAGGGTGTCCTTGGTGTGAGTTTACTTGGGCTCTCTTTTTCATTCATGGCTGTCACCGACAAGTCTCTGCGATCCACCCGAAACCAGCTGTACCCGCAACAAGCATGGTATTGCATTGGACTCTTCATTTTTATCGTTGCAATCTTCCAATGGATCTCTTTCTTTCACTCCAAGTTCGCCGGGAAGCGTCCAACGTCCAACGCCTCCGACACAGAACATGCTTCTGAGCACCGTCGTCACGCTTTTTCTTGGCGTCGCATTCCATTGGGACTCATCAATGCGTACCGCGTCATTTCTTTCCGCTGGACACTCGAATTTGGAAAGTCATACACCCTCAACATGGCTGAGGTTTTGTGACGGTGGCGTACATTGTTTTCCTTTTTGTATGGGCATTTATCACAGTGAGTTCCCTGGCAATGTCACTCGCACATTCTGAGAGAGCTTCTAGCAACCGACCTCGAGAGCCAAAAATTGGACATCTCATACTGGTGCAACCGCTCAGGCATGCTGGCGTCGAGCCAGTTCCCACTGATCACTGCACTTGGAACTAAAAACAACATAGTATCCTGTACGGCTTCTGTGCTTGCATATTAACTTGCTTTGCTGACTGCCTGCAGTAATCACCGGTATCAGCTATGACAAGGTAAATCTATTTACGATATTCGCCATTGCTCTATTCTAACGTGATATATCTTCAAGCTCAACTACGCTCATCGCATGATGTCTAGAGTTGCCTTCGTATTGCTCTGGGTTCATGTAGGTGGTGAGGTTGTCCGACGTGCACCGTACGTGCAACATGTATAAAGGATTCAATGCATTAACACGACACAGATTCCAACCATACTTAACGCAGCCATGGCTCTTATGGGGCTTGGTTGCCATGGTCGCATCTACCATTCTATGTATCGTCTCCTTGCGCCCCGTCCGATCCCAAGCATACGAGCTTTTCTTCTACGTTCATTTCGCTATGGTTTCGTGAGCCTATTCCAATTCTATTGCTTTGCCACACTCACAAACTTTTTCAGCATTTTCCTCATCGGCGCTTACATCCACACACAAGATTCTGAGTGAGTTTCATCAAATACACAACTTACATGTTCCACGCTGATAATCACCAGCGTCGCCTTCTGGATCTACCCCTGTTTCGTAATATGGGGATTGGACCGGTTCATTCGGATCCTTCGTCTAGTGGTATTCAACCACTCATACTTCGGATTCAGGTCAGGGTCTACGATGGACGCGACCGCTGAACTCCTATCAGATGATTTTGTTCGGTTGCGTTTCCACCGCCCGTCTCATTTCCACTGGACGCCCGGGCAAACTGCCTATCTTATCATGCCGTCCGTCTCACGCTTGCCATTCGAGGCCCACCCTTTCACCATTGCGAGCTTCGATTCGACCCTTTTTGATGTGCCTAAGGAACAGAAACCAACAAGTGAAAAATATGCTGAGATCGGCCTTGCAGAAGAGAATCTCGGTTCTAGTGCTCCGTTCTGGAAAGAGCTCGTATTTTTCATAAACGTGAGGGAAGGATTCACTGCCCGCTTGAAAGATGCTGCCTTGAAGGGTGACAAAGTAAAAGTTTTTGTCGATGGGCCATACGGGCCTTCTCCTGACCTGGGTTCATATGACACATCTGTGCTCATTGCTGGTTAGTCGCTGAACTTTCTACATGTCGAACATTGCTCATGCATGTCCCTCTTTCAGGTGGATCCGGAGTCTCGTATACACTACCGGTATTGTTGGATACAATAGAGTATGTCGACTGGATTACCGATTCTGTATATTTAACCTGATTTTTTTTGTTTCAGGCGTGTCCGCAACGGTGAAAGCAGGTGCCGTCGTGTTGTTTTCATTTGGTCAATTCGGAGTGTCGGTAAGAATTACCAATCCGAGGCTTGTGGCGAGATTAATGTGTCTATGCTCCTTAGATCATATTCACTGGATCGACGATGTGCTTATCCGGGCACTACGGCTTGCACCTCCTTCTTTATCTATTTCAATCCACATTCACGTTACCGACACACCAGCAACTATTGAGACTTTTCCACGATCGTCTGGTCGAACTGACGACGTCAAACCTGTGCGCGACGATTCCCGCTCTGAGGTGGTCGAGCTGCAGGATGGAAAAGCTATGGAAATAACCAATGACTCCCTTTTCGCGATAGAGTCGGTCAAGCTTGCACATCAAAGGGCCGACCTCCGGGCTATCCTCAGAGACGAAGTGACAGCGGCGACGGGCAGGATGTCTGTTAGCGGTCAGTTTTCGCCTTCATACGCTGCAGATTACAGTAACACTGACTTTGTTTTCAGTGTGTGGCTCACAAAGCATAACTCGGTCTGTTCGTGGTGCTCTTAGGTTCCCAGTTTCTAGTCCTCTCAGTGTAGCCAACGGTGGGCCGAGTGTGACTCTACACATCGAGTCGTTTGGTTACGCTTGAAAGAGGATTTGAATGTCTACACTGAAACAGACCTTAGATATTATTGATATTTACGAAATGATAATATGCCCATGTACTTCGAGTGATTCTTGCGGATCTCGGACAAGGGATATTTAGATGACCTCGGGGCTGACTGCAATTGATGCCTATCTGTATTGAAATTCTACCCTTCTGCATTCCCATGAACTGTTCCTGCGATGTAGTCGACTTGTGCTTGGAAAGGTGCCCCTGGAGCTTGATCGTCGATCGTATAACCTTACCGAAGGAATGGGTCAGTGGTTGTTGCCCAGGAAAAAGACTTCACACGCAAAATCATGCTAACTCAGCTTGTCAACTGGACCTGAGGGGAAGGGGTATCTAGTACGGCATCACAGATGCCAGCACAGTCCCTGGAGGTGGGAGTCCGCGGTTGGTGCGGTCCAGCAACTGCCCAACTACTAGCATGCACCGTTGTCGCTACGTGTGCAATTCTTATTACAGGTCGTATGGCTACTGCCGTGATTTGAAATAATCATAGACCCATTGTTCATGCCGTTGCTTCCTGACCGGCCCTTGTTGCCGTGGTCGACTTGGCGCCGGCGGTGTAGACACAGGCAATAATTATTCAAGGTGACCTACCTGCACTAGTTCCGTTCTGGTGGTTACCAGGTAGCGAGTGGAAGCACGTATTTGTATTAATCGTCTGTAGCTGCAGGGGATCTAAAGCCTAAACCCCGCGGATGATGATATCTGTAGAATCTATGTGCATTGTGCGATTAGTGCAAGAACCATTATCAGCGTCACAGTGACCAAAGAAGAAGCCGATCACGAGAATAGTAGAGTGGTGAAAGCGTGTAATCATAATATGTGCCTGACAGTGCTGGTACTCACAGATACTTTCATAAGTGCTATGTATGCGACTCTGGCATGACAAAAATCCCATGTATGATGTCGCTCGCTCGAGCCTCGAAGCCACTGTAAGTTTTTTTTGCTTGCCGGGTGCCTTCATAATGTCGTGGACTGCTGGCCGACAATTTAGGACAAATTGTAGCATAAGATCGACCGTAGATCCAGGCATATATGAATACATTAAGGAGAGGACAAATCTAGCATCAGAAGTGACTCAAATACCTTAAGATGCTCTTGTTCTCCTAGTTTCATAGCTAGGCAGTCTTTTGACTTTGCATCCGCTCGTTGTTCATGATGTGTGGGGTTTGAACGGATATGCGATCGCAGAAGGCGTCATGTCGGATCATACAAAGCCATTGTACCTTCCGCTCACGCCATGCAGAAGAAACAATTATCAGTGAGGTGCGAGTAGTATTACCTGAGGCCCACACTAGTAACACTGGCGGCTGGGTGAAGGAATTTTGAAGTGTTCAAAGGGTGATGTCAGAGCAGTGGCGGGAATTACGCGACCAAGAGAGGTAACGGTTTTGACTGCCGAAAGACTTGCATTCAACTGGTGGGCGAGACGTTTTAGAGGTCGAATAGAGATACATATAAGCACCAAAAGAGAAAGGGCATCCCAAGTGAAAGTCTTGAAACGTCGGATATTCAAATCAGGATGTGAGGTATGGTGAACGTGAACGACTATTACTCACCATACAGCGCCGAAATCGAAGAGCTTGAGACAGGAAACAAGACCCGTATGCTGTTTCAACTCAGTAGGCTGATGACGAGAGGGTAGACATGTTCTAGCAAGGCGACCATAGTATGATCATCTCCTGCAGTTCTTTGATCTATGGAATTCACTCGAGGTTCTGGATTTACTGAGAGTACTTCCTGCTAGCGCGCAAGTACTTCGAACGACTTTATTCCGTTTTTTTTTGTGATACCGGGATAATCTTCAGAGCACTCCTGAAGCTCTTGCCAAGATGCGCACATCTGACCAGCTGAAATATATACTCAATAACCTCCCTTCACAGTCATAGTTCGAGTGGCGACTCTTGTTGTGCCTCCCACCTCGAGTTGCGCAACCTAGTAAGCAGTATTCCCGAATTTGACGAGGGCTTTGAGAGTCGTCCGCGATGGTGATTCTTTCTATCGAGAGAATCCTTTGTAGCCCTGTCGTAGGGCCAGTGTGTCGATTTAAGATGGAAATGGGGTAAAGCTCATCCCAGAAGCATAGATCCGCAGACATCAGTCTGTTTCGCGGTGGCCTGGGACCCTCTTAGGGTACGTGGTATCAAGGTTCGGGGGTCCATGACCACATTGAGGTCGAGAAGGACAGCGATGTAGTGGGGATCTGATAGGCACTGGATCGTCTCATGCTTGCGCGTGATATGACTTAGTTCTGCATGGTGATGCCTCCACGTTTTGTCGGAAATAAAAATGTGTGACACGCGTTTCATATCATCAGGGCCAAGGTCGGAATCCATTTTATCGACTGGCGGCTGCAAATGGCGACATTACACCGCGCTTATGCGATGCCAGCGTTGCAAAGTTCATTCTTGGGCTTGAGCACTGCATCTAGCACTTTACAGCGATATCTTAGAAACGATATCGCTTGAACAACGTTTGGAGGCTTACCTTGACCGTTCGGTTCGTCAAATTCCGACTCATGCATCGACTCGGAGAATGACAGACCATAATTGATAATTACTGACACTGTGGTTGATGTGCAACAGCCGGTATACCGATTGTTTGAACAGGCCTCCAATTGTGGGCCGTGGCTGTGAAATATTTATAATCGATGATGAATAATCTAAAATCCAACTGGGTGATAGGCATCAGTTCTTCAGCTTCTGCCATCGTTACTCAGAATCAGTCAGCCCAGCGCTCGCTAAGCATGTCTTGTAGTGCTGTGCACTCAGGCCTGTCGGTGCTGCGTGCCACCCAGGATCTCCTGATGATCCACAACCAGCCTGACAAATATATCTATTTCAAACTCGTTCAGCCTGTCGAGGTTGGCTATAAAATACGCGATGTGGATTCCCGTCTCAAGATCTCCAATCAATACCATTCAAAGCATTTCATACCTAGTTCACCATGTCTGATTCTTCGACCTCCGCACTCTTCTCCCCGATCCGCGTAGGCAACATCAACTTGCAGCACCGCGTCGTCCTTGCCCCGCTCACCCGTATACGTGCACACGCAGATCACGTCCCAACCCCACAAGCGTCAGCGTACTACTCTCAGAGAGGGTCTACCCCCGGAACTCTTCTTATCACAGAGGGCACATTCATATCTCAGAACGCTGGTGGTTATGATCATGTCCCTGGGATATATACCGATGCCCATGTGGAGGGATGGAAAAAGGTATGTTGTATCTTGTTTAACAATGATGAGAGCTGACTCACGCCACGGACTGCAGGTGACAGAAGCGGTCCATGAGAAGGGCTCTTTCATTTTCCTACAACTCTGGGCGCTCGGCCGTACCGCAGACACAGCCGTTCTTGCCAAGGAAGACAATAGTCCCCACGTCAGTGCCTCACCCATCTTCATGCCTGGAAAAACAGACGTGCCACGCGCACTCACCACGGATGAAATCAAGGAGTACGTTGCCACGTATGCCACCGCCGCAAAAAATGCCATTCGAGCTGGTTTCGATGGCGTTGAAATTCACGGCGCAAATGGCTACTTGATCGACCAGTTCATGCAAGACGTCAGTAACGAACGCACAGATGAATATGGCGGAAGCATCGAGAATCGCGCAAGGTTTGCACTTGCAATAACGGATGCCGTTGTGGAGGCCATTGGTGCTGAGAGAACGGGGTTCCGAATGAGCCCCTGGGGCATATTAAGCGGTACGTGTCACATCATTCAATACTAGCGATCTTTATTTAGCTGATCTGCGGTGCAGGTATGGGCATGGCAGACCCCAAACCCCAGTTCTCCTACGTGGTTGAGCAGCTGCGCAAACACAAACTCGCATACATCCACGTCGTAGAGCCGATGCCTGCCGAAGTCACTGCTGAGAAAAACAGCGATTTCCTCCGTGATATTTGGCAAGGGGTTGAGGGCAGTACGTTCATCAGCACAAACGGATATACCCGGGATACCGCAATCGAGACGGTAGACAAGAAAGGCGGCCTCATTGGATTCGGGAGGTTGTTTATGCCAAACGTGAGTTATTTGTTTCCTAGACTAGGCAGTGACTAACACATCCCCTGTACTAGCCCGATCTTCCATTCCGTCTGCGAAAGGGCATCGCGCTTGAGCGGGGTGACCAAGCAACATGGTACATGCGCGGCAATCTCACACCAGCGGGTTATTCGGATTGGCCCTTCGCGCCGGAGAATGATCAGCAATAGAGCAGCAAATTCTGACATGGTCTTGTAAGCAATATACCTCCGAATAGAAGTTACCTTACTGTATGCACCCAATATTGTGCTTAATCTTTGATTCTTTATCTCAGTCTATCTTACGGTGCGACTTAAGTGGTGACAGTTCACCGTGTTTTTGACCAAGAGGCACCAAGCCGGAAGTACGTCGGATATCAGGTTGTCGGACTAGATTGTACACATCTTACTTTCCAGCGTCAGTCTGAAATCATCTCTCAGTCATCATTATGGCCCGTCGTCGGCCTGTCACCGTTGAGTCTTCAAGCTCATCAGAATCAGACTCTGATTTAGACTTTTCTTCGGCGTCATCGCGCAAGACTTCCCCAAATCCTCCAGCAGAGAAATCTGCTTCCAGCACTGAACCCTTGAAAGGGAGAAACTGTAAGCGTAAGTCGTTAGGCGACGATAATAACAACAATACGAAGAGTTCAGAATGTCCACCATGGTAAGTCGTATTGTATAGCACATGTATGGACTTAATCTCGTGTTTTCAGGCAAAAAAAGGACAAGTAAGCATATAAAGCACCGATAATCTAAATTCATCTCGCACAAGCACCCGCCGGCTAGCATCCAACTCCATACCGATCTTAAAAAACTCCAGGAGCTGGAAAAGAAACTCCACCGCACAGGTAATCCAGCGTTGGAAAAAGCATTGATAGAGTTGTGGCACGACATCGTCTGCCCGGTGGTGAAAAGTCAGCAGAATTGCACCGCCAATATTTCGCATATAGTGGTGCCCGACGTTTGTCTTTAGTTTCTTGCTGCTGCACGCTGCTGGCGAGTACAAGAAAGATGGGCGGTCCCTTTCGCAGCTCTACATCTCTTCACACACTCTCTCCATCGCTTTCCGCGCTGATGAAGGCTCGCAGAAATGATAGGTCCCTGTCAATGTCCTTTGGCGCCGCTGGCCAGGATCACCCGGCCGGTTATTCATTCACTTTGGATAATGTGGAGCCTGAACTGGAATTACTACGGAGTCTTCTATTCCCTATCCCAACTGTTTTCTTCACGAAGATAATGAGCGTTGATGCAACGCGATCGAGGGCACTGCGCGCGCTGCAAGACAACACATGGCTCCATTAACTTTTTCAGCCTGTCGGGGTTCTCTCACTGTTGACAATTGGAGAGTCACGCACCACCTTCCAAGATATTGGTCTGAATAGAGCATGCTCAGACTGAATTTTTCAATACTGTTTACACACCACCGACTAGTTTGGAGTTTGAGGTACCAGCTGCTGCTTGCCGCCCTATGCTATTCGAGTATGCAATGAGTGTGACAGGTACGCCTATAATCCGACAGCCAAATAACTAAGCAGTTGCGGCAGCAGTCGCAGCAGTGGCGCAGCATTTTCACGATGCCCCTTGGCGTGATATGACTTGGTTCTGCATGGTGATGCAGTTCACCGCTTTGTCGTAAATGAAAATTTGTGACATGCGTTTCATATCATCAGGGCCAAGGTCAGGATCCATTTTATCCACTGGCAGGTGCAAATGATGCGTTGCCAGAGGTTGCCAGTGTCGCAAAGTCCGTTCTTGAGCTTGAGCGCTCGAGCACTACATCTAGCACTTTACAGCGATATCTTAGAAACGATATTGCTTGAACAACAACATTTAGAAGCTTACCTTGACCCCTTGGTTTGTCAAATTCCATTGACTCGGAGAATGACTTAATCAATCATTACTGAAGTTGATGTACAACGTCGTGAAGGCTGGCCCTGCAGTTAACGTTGTGGCTGTGAAATATTTATAATCGATGATGAATAATCTGAAATCCGACTCGGTGATGTCGTTACTCAGAGTCAGTCAGCCTGGCCAGCGCTAGCTGAGCATATCACAACTAATTTCGCAGCGCGACCTGCCGGTGCTGGGTGCCATCAGGGTTTCCTGATGGCCTACAGCCGGCCTGACAAATCTATCTATTTTAAACTCGTTCAGCCTGGATATAAAACACACGATGTCGATTGCCCAGACTTTCAATCAATATCATTCAAAGCCTTTCATACCTAGTTTGCAATAGATCACATGTCTGCTTCTTCCATCTCCGCACTCTTCTCCCCCATCCGCGTAGGCAACATCAACTTACAGCACCGCGTCGTCCTTGCCCCACTCACCCGTATACGTGCACACGCAAATCACGTCCCAACCCCACAAGCACCAGCATACTACTCTCAGAGAGGGTCTGCCCCTGGCACTCTTCTTATCACAGAGGGCACGTTCATATCTCAGAGGGCTGGTGGTTATGATAATGTCCCTGGGATATACACCGATGCCCATGTGGAGGGATGGAAAAAGGTATGTTGTATCTTGCTTAACAATGATGAGAGCTGACTCACGCCCCGGACTGCAGGTAACAAAAGCGGTCCACGAGAAGGGCTCTTTCATTTTCCTACAACTCTGGGCGCTTGGCCGTACCGCAGAAACAGCGGTTCTTGCCAAGGAGGACAATAGTCCCCACGTCAGTGCCTCACCCATCCCCCTCTCGGGAAAAACAGACGTGCCACGCGCGCTCACCACGAATGAAATTAAAGAATACGTTGCCACGTATAGCACTGCGGCAAAGAATGCCATTCGGGCTGGTTTCGATGGCGTTGAAATTCATGGCGCAAATGGCTACTTGATCGACCAGTTCACACAAGACGTCAGCAACCAACGCACAGATGAATATGGCGGAAGCATCGAGAATCGCGCAAGGTTTGCACTCGAAGTAACGGATGCCGTTGTGGAGGCCGTTGGTGCTGAGAGGACGGGGTTCCGAATGAGCCCCTGGGGCACATTCAGCAGTACGTGTCACATCATTCAATACTAGCTATCTTTATTTAGCTGATTTGCGGTGCAGGTATGGGCATGGCAGACCCCAAACCCCAGTTCTCCTACGTGGTTGAGCAGCTGCGCAAACACAAACTCGCATACATCCACGTCGTAGAGCCGATGCCTGCCGAAGTCACTGCTGAGAAAAACAGCGATTTCCTCCGTGATATCTGGCAAGGGGTTGAGGGCAGTACGTTCATCAGCACAAACGGATATACCCGGGATACCGCAATTGAGACAGTAGATAAGAAAGGCGGCCTTATTGGATTCGGGAGGTTGTTTATGCCGAACGTGAGTCATTTGTTTCCTCTACTAGGCAGTGACCAACACGTCCCCTTTACTAGCCCGATCTTCCATTCCGTCTGCGAAAGGGCATCGCGCTTGAGCGGGGTGACCAAGCAACATGGTACATGGGCGGTAATCTCACACCGGCAGGTTATTCGGATTGGCCCTTTGCGCCAGAGAATGATCAGCAATAGAGCAGGTCTTGTAAATAATATACCTTAGAATAAATGCTACCTTACTGTATACACCCGATATCATACTTAATCTTTATCTCAGTCTATCTTGCGGTGCGACTTGAGTGGTGACAGTTCATCGTGTTTTTGACCAAGAGACACCAAGGCGGAAGTACAGGTTGTCGGACTAGATTGTAGGACTGAGTATCTACATATACATGAGTTGGGTTTCTCGACAGCCCTGCAACCGAGGGCACCAGAAGTGTTTCATTGCGAGGAATGTAGGTACTGTAGATGGAGAAGAAAACAAGTCTTGTTATTTCTCAACACCATACATCTTGTACTATCGGGATTCGGGAAAGCTACTGTCATACTCTGACTCAGAGGATTTCCCCTTGGGCGCTCTCACCACATCAGGTAATCAACCCTGAATTGATATGACCAGGTAGTGCTGACAAATGAAGCACATTATGATACATCTAGATCTAGGATTACATATCATTATCTTTGTGGATTGTGTGTATGACAGAATACAAAAGTTTGCTAAGAACATGCCACCTTGATATGCATGTGACAACCACACATCACATATGTGAAACAATACAAAAGTGTGCCGAGGACATGCCACCGTGATATGCATGTGACAACCATGCATCACGTATGCGAAGGAATACAAGAGTGTGCCGAGGACATGCCACCGTGATATGCATGTGACAACCATGCATCACGTATGCGAAGGAATACAAGAGTGTGCCGAGGACATGCCACCGTGATATGCATGTGACAACCATGCATCACGTATGCAAAGGAATACAAGAGTGTGCCGAGGACATGCCACTGTGATATGCATGTGACAACCATGCATCACGTATGCGAAGGAATACAAGAGTGTGCCGAGGACATGCCACTGTGATATGCATGTGACAACCATGCATCAGATATGGGAAGGAATACAAGAGTGTGCCGAGGACATGCCACTGTGATATGCATGTGACAACCATGCATCAGATATGGGAAGGAATACAAGAGTGTGCCGAGGACATGCCACTGTGATATGCATGTGACAACCATGCATCACGTATGCGAAGGAATACAAAGGTTTGCCGAGGACATGCCACCGTGATATGCATGTGACAACCATGCATCACGTATGCGAAGGAATACAAGAGTGTGCCGAGGACATGCCACTGTGATATGCATGTGACAACCATGCATCACGTATGCGAAGGAATACAAGAGTGTGCCGAGGACATGCCACTGTGATATGCATGTGACAACCATGCATCAGATATGGGAAGGAATACAAGAGTGTGCCGAAGACATGCCACTGTGATATGCATGTGACAACCATGCATCAGATATGGGAAGGAATACAAGAGTGCGCCGAAGACATGCCACTGTGATATGCATGTGACAACCATGCATCAGATATGGGAAGGAATACAAGAGTGTGCTGAAGACATGCCACCGTGATATGCATGTGACAACCATGCATCACGTATGCGAAGGAATACAAGAGTGTGCCGAGGACATGCCACCGTGATATGCATGTGACAACCATGCATCAGATATGGGAAGGAATACAAGAGTGCGCCGAAGACATGCCACTGTGATATGCATGTGACAACCATGCATCAGATATGGGAAGGAATACAAGAGTGTGCCGAAGACATGCCACCGTGATATGCATGTGACAACCATGCA